ATATATAATATAGATATTAATAAAAATGTATCAGTGACTTTGAGTTTTGCAAAACTTTTCACAAGAATCCAAAAAAGTTCAATCTGGTCCTCTGGACGTTCAAAAAAACAAAACAAAGCAAAAAATATAGAAACGTTTCGCTATTTAAGAGACTGAGCTGAAAACAGCACCTCAGACTGAGGAAGTCTCTCAGATGAGAGACGAAACGTTTCTATATTTTTTTGCTTTGTTTTGTTTTTTGTTTTTTTGAATGTCCAGAGGACCAGATTGAACTTTTTTTGATTTTTCTACCTGGATTATTGAGCATGCATCAGGATATTGTCACAAGAATATTGTATTAGTGTTAATGTTAACCCTACCAAGAATATTTAAATACACTGAACGATGTGTTCAGCTTTAATGGCTGTATGTCTAAGATTTACAGAGGGAAAAATCGTGAGAATGAGTTTAGTATTCAGCTATGACTGATTAAACGCGCAGATACGTCATTGCTCCTGTCAAACATGTTACACTGAGTGAAGCGGTTGACCGTTCCAAGATGGCGGCCCTACGGCTTGTCAGCGCCAATTGGCGATAGCGGTCAATGCTGTATCTAGTGTTTATATGTATGGTTGGGATGGGCTCTGTTTAATTTCTTGTTTCTCTGCACGAAAACCTGATTCAGGGATCTCACAAATCAAGCACTTTGAGTTTATTTTTTTGCTTTTTGAACATTGTTGTTTGTCTTCAGTTCCCCCCAAAACAGAAAATTATTATACATGTACTTGTATAAATTCAAGTGTATTATCCAGGGAATTTGCTTTTTTTTAATTGTCATTGAGTTTTTGTTGTATTTAAATAAAACATAAATACACATTTTGCTTACTTCTTTTTTATTTATTTAATTATTTAATTTTATTGTTCTTTGTTTTTGTTTTTATTAACCGACAAACAGTACTTTTTTTCTTCTTTTTTTTTTTTTGGTCAAGATTTTTGGGGCGCTGCCATGCTGTACAACTCTTCAGACAAGCCAACTGAATCATGTTTGATCGAAAGAAAAGGAGGTGAAATAAGATTAGTGTTCCATATTTTTCTACATATTATTTGATATTCCATTTCGCCCCCAAATTTATTACATTCTTAAACAAAATCGCCACTTTCCAACCATAAAGGCAAACATCATCCTCCATCTTACCTCCTGCCTTGTGCGTTCTGTCCTGCCCTCCTCCATCGTCAACAAACCAACAACCATAAGATCAACCAGTCACGTTAAGGCTACAGACACTGCCAGCCATGTCCTGCCTCTAAATACAAGCAAAAATACCATTCATCTTATTGTATTTTAACGCGCACATCAAAAGCTCTCGCGCTGCTTTTACGTGTGTATTTTAGCACACCTGCTTTCGTAGAGAATTCCCGAGGTTTAAGGAGGAGGTTCAGAAAATGTCTCCGGCCGCTCAGGAGGAGAGGAGGCGGACTGGCGTTCAGCTGGGGAGCGCTGCGCTGCTGCTGCTGCTGCTCTCACTCTCTGGTAAGACACGAAACAGGTGAACCGGTGAACAGTCTGATGCATTTGTGCACGGATCTATCTCAGTCCGTGCACTGAGGAAAGAACTGCAAAACGAGGAGGTAACACAAGAAGATGTCGGTGAATTTTCCTAAACTGACAGGCCTCTCATTAGGAGGGGGTTGTTGTGGTTTTCTTCCAGGTGATTTTTTTCCCTTGGTTTAGCCCTTTGACAGCATGGTGGTGCACAGATTTTGATTGGATTATGACGTAAATTAAACTAATAAACATCGACGTAATAATGCTGTAATAAAACGTCTCCAGTGGAATAGAAGTCAGTCTCATGTGATGTGTTATATAACCCAAGAGTGCATATTCACAGGAACTCATAAATCATAGAACTGTGCATGACACTTGTATGTTTTAGACACATCAAACCTCATCAAGAGCTTGCACAGTGTCGCTCATTTTTCATCAAATAATGACCAAGCCATAAGTAGAGAAAGTATAAAACAAACAAATGTGGTGCTCCACCACAGCTACAAATGACAACTTCCTGTTTCAAATACCCGAATGACAAAAAGTACACATTATTTCTACAATGGAACATCACTATCTTACCTGCTTTTGTTTGTTTCGGCTGATGCCATGTTGCGATTGTCTTGTGACCAGTCACCCCATCACACTGAGGTGACCACAGATCAGAGCCGAGCTCACAAAACCAATTCAATGTGTTCTCAGATACAGCTGAACACCCAACACATCAGAACCGTGTTTAATGACTAGAATCAAACATTAGCACATGGAACACAGTCATCACAGTTAGGCTTAAAATAAATACTGCTCAGTGTGACCAAGAGCTTAATAAAATGGTTGTTAATGCAGAATGACTGTATTTCCAAATACATTTTGACAGGCTATCAGACAGAAGAACTTTTTTAAAACAGTGAACGCAACAAATCTTACTTCATGATGATGGCGTTTATTAACAAGTCTGTCTGCTGAGCCTTTGGTCTAATAATTCCTTTGTGGACTGAAGAGCAACGCTGACGGACAATGGCCTTTTTGTCCACAGTTCTTAGCACATCTGTCTATATGGCAGCATCCAGAAAGTCTTGAGCTGACTTCTCTAAACTTCCTAACACAGGAATGCTGAGATCCCATCCATCCATCCATCCATTTTCTTTACCCGTTTATTCCATTTTGGGTCACGGGGGTCGCTGGTGCCCATGTCCAGCAATCACTGTGCGAGGGGCGGGGTACACCCTGGACGGGTCGCAAGTCCATCACAGGGCCACATGGAGACAAACGAGACAAACAATCATTCACTCTCTCACTCACACCTAGGGACAATTTAGAGTTACCAATCAGCCTAACATGCATGTTTTTGGTCTGTGGGAGGAAACCGGAGCACCCGGAGAAAACCCACGCATGCACGGAGAGAACATGCAAACTCCACCCAGAAAGGCCCCTGGACCGGGGTTTGAACCAGGGACCTTCTCACTGAGAGGCAGCAGCTCTACCAGTTGCGCCACCGTGCTGCCCTGCTGAGATCCCTCTTTTCCAAAAAAAAAAAAACCCAATCCTTTAGCTGTGTTGGTTAAAAGTCTTCCAGTGAGATCCAAACCACTCGCAAATAAAAGATTTGATTCCATTAATATTCAGTTGAAGTGTCTCTGGGCAAGACACTGGACCTCTTATTGTTTCTGCTTAACAATTTACTCAGATTAGGGTTTGTAAGCTCAATCATCCAATTAGATAAAAACAAAAAAGGTTAAATCATGTCATCTGGACCAGTTTCTTTAAGTGAGAAACGTTTCGTGCCCCATCCAGAGGACTTCCTCAGTCTATAGCCTGCCAACCAGATCTGTCCCATAGGTAGCCTTCTCTGCTGTGTTTCAAGCCAACCTCTGTTGGAATCTCAGAAGTAGACTTTGAACATGTGCAGAGCACACCTATCCAAAACAATCAAATGTTTTAAGTCAGATGGCCAACTTGCTATTCACAGAAACAGCCCGAGGACAGCCAAGGCCAAAGTGGTTCAGAAAAAAGTTTGTAAGCTCAATCATCCAGGTAAATAACAACAAAAATGTTAAATTGTGTCATCTGGATCAGTTTCTTTAAATGAGAAACATTCCGTCCCCCATCCAGAGGACTTCATCAGTCTGTGGCCTACTCAGATTAGCTTTGTAGAGATACTGTATGTAGTGCTGTGAGTGTGGATAAATGAGGGCGCAGATTGTGTTGTAAAGCACCTTGAGTATGCTAGATTAAAAAAAAAAAGTTGCTATATACAGTAAGTACACTGTTTACCTTTTAGAGTTAAAAGTCTGATGGTCCATATCTGAAGACCCTGCCAAAACCTAGTAATCTTGATAGTTTGGATCTCGGAACATCCAAAATTAACTTGTTGGTAGAGTGGAGTGTTCTTACAGGTGTAAACTGTAAATGTTGTGACCACTCGATTGAAGTGGTCCATTTGAAACTTTTAACGCAAGTAATAAACTCCTGAATTCAATCTGGAAATAGGCTTGGGAGGAGTTATCAGGCCCACAGGCGTCGTAACCATTATATGTGAAGGGGATAAGTCCCCCCCCCCCACAAAAAAAAAAAAAAAAAACGTTCATTTGGACCCCCCATCCCACTTTTACTATGAAACATTAGTTCAGGCGGTGCAGTTTCTCTTTCTTCATGAACGAATACATTCCACTTGATCAATAGGAGAATACTGAAGCTACTAAAACTCCACTCCAGGTTTTCCAGGTTACCTCCACCTCTACACACACAGAGTAGAAACTGTTCAGGTTGCTGAGTCTCCTGCTTCGGCAGAAAACGCGCACAGGTGGAGGAGATGGTGTTGCTTGCTCGCCATTTTAGCGAGCTTAGTGCGGGCAGTTGTTGACCGGGGGGGTTGATCATAAACATATATTCATGTTAGGAGGATGCTTGAGAGGAGCGCTAGTCTGTAGCATGTTAGCTTAGCAGTAACTGTGACGCTGTAAGACGCTGCAGGTGTAAGAGACGCTGCAGGTGTAAGAGACGCTGCAGGTGTAAGACGTGGTGTGTTCAGGTGCATTAAAGTTGAAATGTCTTTAAAACCCCACACCTTATTGTCCTCAGGCTTCATGAGAAACATCATTTAGATGAGTCGTGTTGAACACAAGTAAAAATGTCTAGTGGTGATGTTTTTTATTTCTCTACAAAGACAAATAGTGCCGACCTGACGTTCTGTATTAAAGTGTATTAAAGTTGAAATGTCTTTAAAACCCACAGCTGAATTTACACAAACTTGGCGAGAAACATATTTTAAATGTGTGGAATTCAAGGAAATCTAGGTGAAATGCTGCTGTTTTTTGCACATGCACACACCTACACGCATCATTGTGTCCCCCCCCCCACATTACGGATGCTTCTGACACCCTTGATCAGGCTTAACGATAAACGCAATGTCAACTCAACTTTATTTATAAAGCACATTTAAAACAGCAGCTGTTACCAAAGTGCTTAACAGTAAAGCCAATCAGAGTCATTTCATGGAAAAAAAAAAAGTAACAATAAAAAATAATGATAGTACTGAAAATCAATTACAAGCTTCAAAAAAAAGAAAAAAAAAAGAATGTGGGCTGGATCATGATGCAGGGAGAGATGGTTCCACCAACAGGTGTGGAGGGAAAGATGAACAAAAACATACACCTGGTTCTGATTCCTTGATCCGAGCTCTTTGAGACTCATCTCTGTAGACAAGATAATCATATTAACCCAATTTCTAACCATCTGAGACTTATTCTGTTCTGGACTGATGAAGAGTAGAAACTGGTTTCTGTGTCTACACCCCACAACAATCTATTTTCTTTCCACGTGCTCCTTGTAATTTAACCTCCTGAGACCTGAGCTCTGGTCTGAGATGCATTTTTCATATCTCCTGGATATTTGTGATTAACTCAATCAATCAATCAACCTTTATTTAGACAGGTAAATCCCATTGAGCCTCGAGGACTCATTTACAAGAGAGACCTGATTTCAACAAAGAATGATGACAACAATGGACAACAGCAACAACAAACAATTATAAAAAGTCATACTGCAGTTTTTTTGTTTTGTTTTGTTTTGTTTTTTACAAATAGGATGGCTAAAAGGAAAAGGTAACAACAACAACAACAAAGAAAAAAAACAACAAAAAAAAACAGCTAGATTCTAAGGCGAATGTAGAAAACTAAAAACAGGAACATGTCTGCATTGGTCCCTGCCAGGAGTCCAACAGATTCTTAAAGCCACTTAGAGAGGTCAAGGTCGAGAGCTTCAAATGGAAATTCAAAATGGACCTGATTTATGTATAAATAAAGCTTCCTCTTCAAACAGGAAGTTGTATTTTGTTACATGGTTATGACATACTTTTGTAAAAAAAAAAAAAAAAAGTCCTTATATGGGTAAAATGAGCTTATTTTACAGCATAACACAACATTGTTAACATGGCTTAACAAAGTATAAAACACTATTGAACAGAGTGAAGTATAAGGTACAGCAAGCCAAAATGTAATGTCCCCATATGTGGACGCAGGGTCTCAGGAGGTTAAGCAGATTTCTGTACACGTGTGAGCACATCCACTGTGGTAGTGTTAAACTATGTGCCATATGATTGGAAGTCGTCAACAATAGAAAGTCATGTTTGTTCCACGTGCATTTTGAGCTTCCTGTTTCATCAAGTGCATCCGATTTAAAGATAAGACAATTTTCTGAATGGGCTGGTACAAAGTCAGTGCCAAAGAGGGTGTAGTGGCGTGAGTCTACGTAGTTGTAAACTGCTTAAATAAAACAGATCTCGAAACGTGTGATGACAGCAAAAATCAGGGTTTATTTGAAGCATAAACTGACAGGCCGAAACAGCTATAAACCTCGAGACCTCAAAAGAAAAAGCCCCTGCCTCAACACAGCTCTGTCCTGATTTATACCGTTCATTTGACGTCAGAAGTCAGCACAACACATATCAGTCCTTTCCCATTTTAGGAAAACGCTTGAGAAAAACA